GGCTGGAGGAAGGCGCTGGCGTGGCCGGGTCCGCAACACTGGTGGCCCTGTCGCGGCGCGCCTGGGCTTTGTGCCACCCACATGCTGCGTGACCTTGGGACAGGGGCTGTGGGCCCAGAGCCTCAGTTTCCCCGCCTGGCTGTGGGCTAGGCAACGGGACTCCCCGGCGTGCCACCTGCCTTGCGGGTGGGGGGCATACAGGGAGGCCCTAGGGTGGAATCAGGAGTTCTGGGGACACAGCACCAAGAGAGGTTGGCACCGAGCTGCTCCGCAGGAGAAAGGCCTGGTGATCTGCTCTCCTGGAAAACCCTCTGGGGCCATCTCTCTTTGGCTGCTTGGGGTCAGCCACAGAAAGGCCCCACAGAAAGGCCCTGCCCTGTCCTTCCATGCCCTACTGCAGGCTGTGAGGTGGGTGTTGGAATGCCCTGTGGACCAACATGAGTTGGAAATTAATTCTGAAGCCACAACTCTGGTGGCCAGAGGCTCATCCATTTTAAGCAGGGAGTCAGGGAGCGCATCCTGGAGGACGCCACAGGAGGAGGAGGGGACATTCGAGAAAGACAGGAGTGGGAGGGCTGGCAAATAGGGGCCTGGGAGTGGCATGTACTCAGGCCAGAACAGCTCGTGCAAAGGCCCTGAGGCAAGGTTGTGCCTGGCACAGGGGCACAGGGCCCAAGGAGATGGCCCTGCTTGCTTTCATGCTTGGCCGTTAAAAAAGTGTAATTTTTTTTCTTTTTCTTTTTTTAAAAATCATGGCTGGTGGTGGGGCAGGCAATCTAGTTTTGCTTTGTTTTCCCAGAACAAAAATATTGAGAAACAAACCAACCAACCTGCCGTTCTAGAGTCAACCCTGATTTACAGTGAATGACCTTCTAGGACCAAGCAGAGTCCAGGTGACGCCGTGAGTTACATGTTGCGCTGCTACCTGCCAGGTGGAGAGTTCAAACTCAAGATGAGGCTTTCTCTCAGAAACCCACAAGGGTCCTGTACGGTCGCTGCAAGTCGGGATCGATCCGAAGGCAGTGGTTTGGAGTTTTCTTTGTTTCAATTAGGACCCAGCGGGGCTGCCTCATAGCCTTTCCAAGATGGGAAGGAAATCTGTACAGAGCAGGTGATGCTTTTGAACTGCCCATCTTGAAGCCAGCAACAGAGCCATTAACCACTCTGCCCCCTGGGCCGAGGACCCTACAAACTGTCTCCAATCCTTAAGGCAGAAGATCTCAACCTGTGGGTTGTGACCCCTTTGGCGGTCGAGGGACACATTCACAGGGGTCACCGGATTCATAACAGGAGCAAAATGACAGTGATGAAGTAGCAACGAAAATAATTGTATGGCTGGGGGGAGGAGTCACCACAACACGAGGAACTGTATTAAAGGGTCGTGGCATGAGGAAGGCTGAGAACCACTGCCTTAAAGGGAGGTGAAGGCAGGCAGGTGAGGTGGACTCAGGGAGGGCTTGAGTCTTCCTCCAAGGGAGGCTGGTGCCCTGGAGGACTCTGGGTTTCCAGGGAGAAAGGGAGGGAGGGAGCCCTGCTTGGGTTTTTTGTTTTTGACTTTAGCACACGGAGATTTGGTCTCTTGAGTTTAGGAGACTGGAGAAGGCCACAATCCAAGTGCTAGCTCCAGGAGAAAGCCGTCTAGGTCGCTGTATTGGCTCTCGGGGCAGGGTCTTGTCTCCTTTTAGCATCTGGGGGCCTAGCGTTCCAAAGAGATTTCCATGTGCCCTGGCCTCAGCCTGTCCTTGGATGTAGGAGTATCACAGGGGAGGGATCCTGGGTCCAAAGGACCTGCGCCAGGCTCTCCTTCCTTTGTGACAACAGGTCCTGATTGGAGTTTTGACAGTGTCCCTCTGGTTTGCGCACAAACAGAAGACCCGGAAGACACCGTTGATCGAATAACCCTTAAGCAGCAACCAAACCCTGTGCCGTGGAGGCAGTCCGTATGCACAGCGACCTCACCGCGACCTTGCACGGCACAGATCAGAACTGGGCACCACGGGGAGGGGGGAGGGGGGTCTTGTGGAAGAAGATTGCCAGGCCTTTCTCCCTCAGTGCCTCGGCATCGATCTGAACCCCCAGCCTCTGGTTGAGCTCACACCACTTGAGTGGGCCAGGTATCTGAACACAAGGTTGACGGACATTTCTTATCAATCTGTCTCTCTGGACTTGCTGAAAATTGACGGTGAATAAAACCTGGATAAAATATTTTCTTAAAAATGTTCTTAAGGACATGTTCTTTACACAACAACTCTATTTTGAAACCACACGAGGATACATGATTAACTTATAAGTGAAACTATGTGAAACTGTCTAAGTTCTGTAGCATGTAGCATCATCCAACGGTTCTATTCCTACAAAATGTATACAGTGTTTGAGACACTGAGTTCGATGTATCCTAAGGGCCGGTCAGTCGGACAATCTCCTTTGCCTTGCTTGTCTTCACATTTGGTGTTTACTTTCTAAGAATTTATTTTTAACATTTTATTGTGGGCTCTTACAGCTCTTGTGACAATCCATACATCCATTGTATCAAGCACATTTATACATCTGTTGCCATCATTTATACTAAGAACTTTTTTGAAGTAATGCTTTCCGGAGTGGAACCGATTCACTGTGGTTAATACTCAATGTACATTCGCGTCAAATGGATGTGTATCCGTACAGATGCCGCCCAGGGAATCTCGAGATTAGACGGTTTAGAAGAAATAAATGTGGATGTCTATGTGCCTGGTTCAATGAATAAAAGTCCGCATAAATGGTGGGAGGTAAACGTAAACGGTCATTTTCAGTGAGCACGTAGAAGCGCGTCAACATGGCGCAGCCCATCAACCTAGGAAATACTAGATACAAGGTCCCTTCCTCATCATCACCCTCAGCCTCACCCAGGACCAGAGCTTCTGCCTTGAACGTTCCCATCTGCAGCATGGAGCAGCAGGTCCAATCTCCTCCCTGCGTAGTTGAAAGGCTTGGGAATAGGATGTGACGAGGGGGTAAAATTTAAGTGGATACCCTCTTGCCAAAAAATAAAATCCTCAATGGCAGGCTCAGTATCACGGTGAGGCCATCCTTATTTAATAAGTCAAAAGACATTTCCCATGAGCAAACTGTCAACATGTTAAAGGCGGGATCTGAGGAAGCCAGGGCCCAGGTGCGGCAAGGCAAGGTTGGCTTTCGTGCAGGTGCGCTGTTACACTCGTGTCGGCACTAAGAGAAGCCGGAGGAACGTCTGCAGCAGGCAGCCAGCCCAGCTCGTAACCCACCTAGCTGTCAGAGCACCCTTCCAAACAAGTTTTGCGAAGTTCGTCACTAATCCTGTTGGGTGCGTGCGTTAGGCCGAGTTGACTAGAGAAACAAATCCAGGGACACTCATAGATGTGTAAGGGAGAGCTTTATATCAAAAAGTCATTGTATATTAAGAAACCATCCCAGCCAAGTCCACTTCAAGTCCATAAGCCCAAGACTAGTCCATCACTCCCCTCTTCAGACTCATGCAGCCACGTGCAATGATGCAGAACGCAGGAAGGTCACAGGCCGGTGGGTGCAGAGTTGTGTGGGTCCAATGGTGGTGGCCACTTCACAGGGCTCCATGTGGCTCATCAACAGGACAGTGAGGGCAGAGAGAGGGGGGCGGGGGAAGTTCCCAGGAGCCTTCTCATGAGAAGGCCACACCCCCCCCAGGCGGTACCATCAGGCTGTGTGACCTGATTGACAGCCTAGACTGTAGTATTAAATGTTTGGGGGGTAGGGGGCCAGCCCCCACCCGCTACTACTACTCACGGGTTCAGTAAGCACAATTGTACAGTTGAGATATACAGTATAAGTATTATATTAAAGTCATTGAGAGCATGAGAGATATTACAATAATGCAGTTAGATACATTACATGGTAGCATTGCTCACCTCAGCCCAGCTTGGTGGTCCACGTGGAGAGAGGGGGAAGAGAAGGAGGGCAAGGGAGCAAGGGAGAGAGGATAGGAGAGGAGGGGGCAGAGAGGGGGGTCAGAGAGAGGTCAGAGAGCTCTATATTGCTGACCCATGCCTATGTACCTTTTGGGGACATGCCAGCCCACTAATTACAGGTAGAGACATATGTCACAGGGAGGGACTGCACTATAGGTTACACAGCAATGAGGGGGTGGTCTCTGGGTCTCCATAGGAACCATTATCAGTAGGGTGCAAACCCCTCCTACAGGAGCCTGTCCATTGTCCCCAGAGGCAGGGAGCAGGCCCACCCCTGTGGAGGGATGAGACAGCAGTCTGGCAACTGATTGCCCTCAGGGGGGAATGCCTGCACATCTGACCTCCCCCCACACTAGACTCCACTTTCATATCTTCAAGTAGACTCACAAAAATGATGTAACTACCCCAGTGTGGGAGTAAGAAGAAATCCACACGCCATACTGGTTGGGCCAGTGCAGGGATTTGTGGGGGCCCAGGGCTCAATGCAAATGTCATGCCACTTGTTGGAGGAGAAGCGTGGGGAGAGATGAAGAACTTCCAGATATTGACAAAGTGACAAAAAGCAAAAGCCAAACCCACTGTCATCCAGTCAATTCCGTCTCACTGACCCCACAGGACAGGGCAGAGCTGCCCCACAGGGTTTACTAGGCTGTAATCACGAGAGCAGGTGGCCACATTGGTTTTTCAGGTGTAAATCACTCTTTCTTCTGAGGTTCCTCTGGTGGACTTGAACTGCTGGCCTTTTGGTTGGGAGTGGGGTGCTTAGCCACGGTGCCATCAGGGCTCTTGAGTATCCCCTGCCGCTGTTGTTAGGTGCCACCGCTGAATCAGTTCTGGTGCAGCGCCACCCTGCACACACGGGATCGAAATGGAGCGGTGCCCGGTTCCGCACCATCATCAGAACCACTGCTACGTGTTGAGTCCGTTGCTGACAGCGAGGAGCTCTGGTGGTGTGGGGGTGCTGAACTGGGCTGCAGCGATCCCACAGAGCCAGCAGTTGGAAACCGCCAGCCGCTCTGTGGGAAAAAGACGAGGCTTCCTGCTCCCGTGAAGAAGAGGGACCGTGTCAGAAACCCACAGGGACAGTTCTGCCCTGCCCTACAGGGTCACCGTGAGTCGGCATGGACTCCAGGGCCAGTGAATTCTGAGTTGGTTTTGTTTTTTTTTTAAACTGTTGGCCCATCTTGCTAAAAGTCTTCCTCTTTTGATGGCCTTTTCTAGGGACTGGTTCCTTCTGACCACATGTCCCAAATCTCACCATCCTCACTCCTCGGGAGCATTCTGTGGCCCTTTCAGCGATCTTCATCAGCACCCACCTTCAGAGGCAGCAGCCTGCCTTATGCACTGGCGAACTCCCACGGATACGGGAAGTGATGGGCAATACCACGGCTGGGGTCAAGGGCACCTTAGTCCTCCAGTATGACATCTTTGCTTTTTCATACTCTGAAAGGACCTCGGGCAGCAGATTTACCCAAGGCAGCAGATCATTGCTTTCTTGACCGCTGCTTCCCTGGGTGTTCGTGGTGGATCCAAGGATTGGCAACTCCTTGGCAAGTCTCTCTGAGAGGGGCAGAATGGCCTTTGGCGAGGACTACTGGGTCGGAGCAGCCGAGAGACTCGACCAGACAGGCTTGGTGCAGAAGGTTCCTGCTGGCCTGCCGGCTGAAGCAAGGTGAGGCCAGGGGACCAGGGGGGTGCTGCCACGGTCCAGACGGCGGACAAACAGGCCTGGGCCGGGCTCAGAGGAAGAGGAAGAAGATGTGAAGAGTTGAAAGAACCAGAGGTGGCGTGTCGGGGAGAGAAAGCTGAAACTCAGGTGGGGGATAACTTAGTGTGATTTGGGGGATCAATTAGGGGATTAGGGGACATGGTTAACGCAGGTGGCTCCTCACTGAAAGGCCTGGTGGCTTGAATCTCCACCCAGAAGAACCACGAAAGAAAGTTCTGGCAATCGACTTCCCCCCTCCCCTTCAAAAATAAAATCAGCCATGGAAAAGCCTCAGCCCAGAACTTACTCCCCAGTAGTCCTCTCCAATCAGTCATCTCCATTCCTGTGGTTGTTAACCGGCTGGCCTTGACTCTGGGGATCCTAGAGTATAGGGGAGAACTACTGTCCCCATAGGGTTTTCTGGGCTTCCATCTTTATGGAAGCAGCCAGCAGCTTCTCTCTCCTGGACAAAGGAGGTCACTGGCCTTCTGGTCCACACACCACCGCCCCCGGGACTGCTGAGAAGAGGCTGCCTGGAGAAGCTTCCTGCTGAGAGGAAGACAGAATTCACAACAGCAGCTTGATAAGCTAGATGAGGAGCCGGCTGGGGATCAGGCGGCCCTGCCTTTACTTGAAGAACCGGGGTACGGTTTACTGTGTATTCGTTCACCGAAGGAGGAAGGAGGGAGGTGATGGTGGTGGGGGGAGACGGCCCTCAGAGCCCAGCACGCTCCGACAGTGACAAGGCCCGGGTCACTGAGCAGAGTGGCCTGGCGCCGCCGCAGTCTGGTTTGGTTTGGGCTCCTGGGATTTCAGGAAATTTCACTGCCTGGGTGGCGGTCACCTCCTCCTGCCACGTGTCCACAGGGCGGGCTTTTCCTCCCTCCCTGGGCCGGCGGGGGAGGGGCGGGAGGACTCTGCGCCCGGAGCCAAAGGAGCGGCAGGGGAACTGTCTGCTGAATCCAGCGTCTGGGACTGTCGCCTGCCTGGTTGCAAACGAGCGAGCGCGGGCCCCCGCGGGCCTGCAGGGCAGAGCCTTGCCAGCCCGGCGTGATGGATGGGGCTACGCGGTCATTAATCAGAGCAAGGGAGGAAACAGGTGGCCGCCTGCCCGCCCGCCGCCGGCGCGGGAGAGGGGGCCTCAGGCCAGCCAGGGCCTCAGCTGTCCAGCTCTGGGTTGCGCCCCTGGTGGGTCATCGCCTGGCCACCGGGTGACCCGGGGCGCTGGAGGTTGTGCCTTGAGCCGTTCAGCTCCCCAGTAAGCGTTTATGAGTGTCCCCTGAGTGCCGGTCAGCACTGGAAGTGGACCTTTCTAGCACTGGCCATGGGGGACCGAAATCCCTGCCTTTGCAGAGCTGATGGTCATTACAGGCTTCACTTAAGGCCTGTCCACAGCTCTCCAGGGGACAAAGCCTATGGCCTCCAAAAGGCCCATGGGGCCCTGCCAGCCCTGCCCCATCCCCTCCCTGCCCTCCCCTCCTCCTCTCTCCCCCTTGCTCACTCCAAGCCAGCCACCTGGA